TTAGTTTCCATTAGCCTAGATAAGATAACACCAACATGCAACACAAAAGTGTCGAACAGGGCAGTCGGTTTGTTGACTGCTGGAATGTCTCCGTGGAGACAAAATGGGATGTAAATCATGTGTTCTGGTCCCTGACAATGAGGAGCAGAGTGTGCAAGGTCAACCCCCCCCCCCCCCCCCAGTGCTCTGTAATAACCATATAAAGCAAGCAAGGAGTTCAGACTGTCTCCCCTAAAGACACACAACACAAACACACACACACTCCCAGGACTATAAGCTGGGACAGCTCAGGGAGTAAGAAGGGGGGAGACCTCACCGGGAGGGAGGGAGGGGGTAGGGGGGTCATCAGACATATGTTGAAAATATAATCTTCTTAGTTAGCCATCAACCTGTGTGATCCCTCATCCTCATTAAGCTAAAATAACAGCCAGCCAGGCAAAAAAAAAAAACTGAGTTCCTGTGCAGCTATGCGTTTAGACTCAGGAGGTGGGGGGGGGGCAGGGGCAGAATCCCTTTGACATAAACGTGAATGACGAGAGACTGGAAGCACATGTTGACGCCGACAACAGAACGACAATTCAGGGGTACGGCAAGCCGCGCGGGTCGAATGCGAATGCGAGCGCGTGACGGTCGGTTCATACTTACGAAGCCGTAGCCCCGGGACTTGCCCGTCTGCCGGTCCGTTATCACCACGGCCTCGTCAATGTCCCCGAAGGCTTCGAAATACTTTCGCAGGGACGCGTCGTTCGTGTGGTACGGCAGCCCGCCCACGAAGATTTTGGTAAAAGTGGTGTCTTTCTGGAGCGTCGTGGGGTGCATGGCTTCCAGAGATGCGTTCATGTACTGATGTAGAAGCATTGGTCAGCTGAGGAAGAGACCGAGGCACGCGGAACACTTAACTGAGCGCTTAACAAACTCCCGGCATCTGTAAACCTGTAAACTCTAGTCTCGGTTGAGTTTCCGTAATTTAGTTTGCTTTTTGGGTGAGAGTTAAAGCCACCTGCTGACACTTGTGACTCACGTAGCGCGCGCCCCACCGACTGCCATCCAACCCGGTTGCGTTTTAACTTCTGTAGGAAAATGTGAGTTGAGAATTTATAGAGCGGGACCGAGCTCCGCCCCTGGTGTAACTATGGACCAATCAGAGCAAGGCTTCGGTGTGGCAACCCCTCCCATTGGCCCACCCCGTCGCGGCGCTTTACTGCACCTGCTTTTGTCTTTTAGAAAACAAAGAAAACAGCCATACTGTACCGGGGAGCCACATGGTGGACCAAACAACGGTAAAAGGTGAAAACATTCGGGTCGGAGTTTGATTTGGTATGTTTGGTAAGTTTATAACTGACAATAATACTGATCACATCCTTGAAAACACACTAAAACTCGGGGGCCTCACACCACGATGAGAAACATTCACATGATACTGAGCTTTATCACTCAAAGCCCTCCCACAGGGAGATTAGAAACCTACAAATAATTGATAGTTTTACATTTTTCTGGACTGGATGGGAAATCTAGTGGATTAGAAATCCGGACTTTTGCGACCTGCATAACAGTAATAGACCAGAATCCAGTGTGGTCCTGTATGGATCAGGCAGGCTAAGGCAAGTTTGAAATGACATCACACTGTCTGGTTTTGCCTGGTGGTTTCTGTATGTTAAGCAACAGGTTACTCCTTCCAGCAAAACATTTTGGAGCTGCTCCTGATCCCGATCCCAGGTGTGTGTCATGCTCGCTTTAGTTTACGGATCGCCTGCTGCCCCGGCCTGGACACAGGCCCAACCTGACAGTGAACCTAGCTGCTGTGTGACTAAACACTGGAGATACCGGTGACGACTCAGTGAGGCTGGGGATCGGTGGCAGCAGCATATCTTCCCACCCTCTGTGCTTTTGAGCGCCACTGCTAAGTACTCAGGGTCAGGCTGACAGTGAGGTGATACTCTAATGACCTCAATAAAAAGGCATTTAATTCACACCTGCCCCTCTATGAACTGCTTCACTTTTCACACGTGGCTTTTGTAGCAAACCTTCCAACCTTATTCGTATCCTCTTGGAACTCCCTCCCAACACACACACACTCATCTTCGCCTGGGTATCACTGTGATGATTAACTGGACGAGGAATGGCTTTGATCCCATTTGTCCTCTCTGGACTGAGAATCTGACAGCAGTGAGCCACTGCTTGGCAAAATGCTCCACCTGCTGGTTAACTTAGCCTATTAAAAAAAAAAACAAAAAAAACAGACAGAAGTTTCAGATGTTGTTCAAAGTTTAAATTTATGATACTGAAGTTGAGACCTACCATGAGAAATAAACAGCTGTAACATGAGACAGTGGTGAAGTTCTTTTGGAGATGCCTTTGCATGCACAATATAGTTCTACAAATCCCCAGACACCAATACAGTTACAGACAACACGGGTTCATTTTTAAACCTTGCTCCCTTTAAATCTTCAGATGGAATAAACATGGTCATGTCTACGTGTGTGAACTTATTTATTTAACATCCCAGTTTCTTTATGGAGCTACACCATAACAGCAGATTACGAGAGAGTGACGAACCTCTGGAAAGATGTAAAAAAACAAAAACAAAAGAAGGGCAGGACACATGAAAATAATCCAAATGTCAGAATGAATCACAAAAAAGCCCCCCCTGTCTGTGATGACCTCTGAGAGCAACTGTCATGCAGCGGTCATCGACGGCAGGTCGGGAAGGCCCCTTTGATTGGTCCATGCACAGTACGCAGCGCCACGGCATTGGTCCAGGTGTCTGCCCAAAGGAAGGAGTCTGTCTCGAGCGCATACACACACACTAAAGCAGCAGGTCTTCCGCATTTCCTCACCAGAGATGCGGCTTGGCACGGTGAATCTAGAGACAGAGGGAGCGGTCAGTGACAGAGCCAGTTTTGTCTCTTTATTTCACAGTGTCCCTTTTGCACAGCAGAGCTCACAGATCAATGGTTGAACATATTCTGTGCCAATGATTCTAAAAAATAACTTAGGCTTTAAATATAGTCTTTCCCTTCTACTCGCACAGCAGACTGCATCTCATATGTTCCTGATTTAACAGGTGACCAGGCCGCTTGTACATATCATCCCAGCAGAAAAACACACAAGGCTCTCTAGTCTTTGTCATATTGTTACTGTGCAGCAGGCCAGAATACAGAGTTTTGCATCACGCCATTATCGTCGCTGCCTACAACCTCTGATTCTCTATAAAGTCCCCAATGAGAGTCACAAAGGGTTTGGGGAAATGTCCCATCCAGTGAACACAGGTCTCCAGGGTAGCGGACACTGGCTATCCTTCTCTCACCATTTCTTGTTCCGAGGTTTCAGCTCTTCGGCAGCGTTCCTCAGAAAGATGTAGTTCTTTTTCTGTGGGTTGTAGTACTCGTGCCCCTGACGGACGTAGAGTTCAAAATTATATGATGTAAAATTACTAACAAGATACCCCCGGTGGTGACTGTACACCTCCTACCTTTGACCAGTCGTAGCTGGAAGCATACGCAAAGATGTTGCCGTTGTGGTTGAAGCAGCAAGCCGTGATGGGCTGGTCGAGCTGCTCCGAGGTCTTCAACTTGGTGCGGGCGTCTTTGTCCCAGAAGCTGAAGCGTCCATCCGAACCCACCGTAGCCAGCGTGCCATGGACAGGATGGAAGGAGATGGCGTTCACCTGAGGAGACAAGAAAAAGGGAAAAAAAAATATAGACCATAATTAGGCTGGCTGGTGCAACACACAAAAAAATGGGGCATTCACTTGATTGAAATCTCAAGATGAAACTGTTGGCCTGTCGATTTAACTCGGTGACATAGACAGATGACCCTGCTGTGACATCCCTTTGACACAAGAAGTTTTTCCCAGGTGGAGTGAGCGACGCCTCCAGAGAGAGGTTGTACCGACATGCTGGTTAAATACTGTCCAGACTTTGCTGACTGCAATATATTTGTGGGCACCAGCTCTAACTTCACTAACACTGACAGAGAAACCTTGCCTGTACAGTATCTACAGAAAAACCTTATTCAGAAGGACTTCATTGGCCACTGACTGGTTGATGACATAATATACGATATCTGGGGTTTGTGATTTGAGTGATTTGACGTGTTGTAAATAAGATCACATCAAATCTCCTTTAATAGCTCAAATTACACGTTACTTTTAGAGTTGAACAACTTACAGCATAGATGTCTTGTGGAGTGGTTGTGTTGGTTCCATTGGACCTGTGGCACTTGAAGGTGAAGTTATCTTTGGCTCTGGAAAGAATCACAGAACACATTCATACCTCGCTTTCTTTAAGCAACTAAAAGGAGGAGCATTTTTAACCATGACAACAAACCAAAAGATCAGTCTCATCACTGCAAAGCACTTTGCTGAATCCACTCACGGGTTGGGAGGATTGATGTAGTGGATCGCCACTCGGCCCTCAATGCTTCCAAGCGCAAAGCCGGTAGGTTTGTTCTGCTTGTCCTTGAATATGGCGACACAGCGGTGCTGTAGAAGGAGATCAGGGAAACAAATTGGCTACTCATCCTGGACACTGAGTTAGGGAGGGAAAAATCTGGATGAAATAAAACCACAGGATGATGTCTAGTCTACGTGTTGCTGTGTTGGCTGCCTCTCTCTGCTCCCTCTGTCCTTCTCTCGCCCTCTCTCTCTTGCTCTCTCTTTCCCTCACCCCCAACCGGCCGAGGCAGATGGCCGCCCATCCTGAGCCATGGTTCTGTTCGAGTTTTCTGCCTGTTAAAAGGAAGTTTTTCCTTGCCTGTGTCGCCTAGTGCTTGCTCATGGTGGGAATTGTTGGGTTTCTATAATTAACTTCAGTAGGGTCTGACCTGCTCTGTTTGGAAAAGCGCCGTGAGACAACTGTTGTTGTGATGTGGCGCTATATAAATAAAATTGAATTGAATTGAATGTACTGATAGCTCACCTGATGTTTGAGAGGAGAGTCTATTCTGCGAAACTCGGAGGGCTGGTTCTCCAGCTGGTACACTATGAGGCCTCTCTCTGCTGTGGCAACCACAGCCATGGGGTACACCTACATGTTAAAGTTGGATAGAGAAGAAAAATTGTAAAAAATCATCCAGTATACAACTGCTAAATTGGATGTTGTACCGGTCGTAAAACACTTACAACGTCGGCGCAGTAGCACCTCTCCGGCATCTGCAGCGACATCATGGGATTGGGAGAGCGCGTGTCCCAGAACTAAAGAGAAAAACAGAAAAAGCTGTCATGGAAATCTCCACTGACCATGGCTAAACTGCACGTTTACATTCATGGACCCATCACTCAGATGTTTACATAGAACATATTTAAATAGACGTGTCTCGAAGCCTCTAAAGATGAATGCTTTACCTTCAGTGTTTTATCCCAACTGCCAGTCATGATGCAGCTGTAGTTTGGGGCTTTGATCCAGTGGATTGCTTTAATTGGGCCGTCATGCTGCAAATAAAAATGATAAGCAGCATGAGACGAGTATTATTTACAGTAAATGCAGGGCTGATCTGAGGTGGTGGCTATCTGCTAACCTGTGCAATCTGCATTGCTTGATTGCTGTTAAGATCCCACATCTTGGCTGTCTTGTCACAAGAAGCAGTAAAGACTTTACTTCCGTCCTAGTTGTTAGGAAAAAAAAAAAAAGAAAAGAAAATCACAAGTTTTTTAACGACCTGCAGCCGGCATCTAATCAACATCTCCAATAAATGCTGTGACTTACATCACTCCAGCAGACATCCAGCACCGGGCCTGTGTGCATCTGCTGGGCTTTGGGGACAGTCTGACCATTGTCCTGCACCTCCCAACACCGAACCTGAAATCCAATGATCAAACAAAAGTAAAATTGTGAGAACTTTCCACACATGATTGAAATTTTAATTGTCCAAGAAGATGGTGAAAACCAGGCGTCATCACATCTGTAAAACTGTAGCTAGGTAAAACAATTTGGTGCTTTAAGTCTATTGAACTATTGATCATCTGAGAATCTATTTGAGGTTTGAAAGGGATTAAATCTCTTTTTTAAAACGGCACTGCTCTCCTGTGTACTTTTCATCAAAAAGAAATAATGAGAAAGTCAAACCTATATTCACAAAACCTACATTTTAATATTTAGATTCCTGCATTTACAAACCTGTTCTTATCATCAAATCAAGGACTGCACATTTAGCAGCTTATTGGATTCAATCTGCATTTACAGTATGTACAAACAAATCTGATCTTGTTTGGGGTTGGACAACTCGAGCCCATCATTACTACTGGATACATAACTCACATCATTAGCCCAGGATCCTGCAATGAGGAAGTTCCCTGGCATTGTGGGGGGGCTGAAAGCCAGACAGCTGATGCTGTCATCTGGAGGGGAAGTCACTTCAACATCCTGTGAAGTCACGTAGATGAAATGGAATAATTAGTGATTTAAAGAGGCCCACAGTGATGTTGGTGTTTGCGTCAGATAGTGTACCTTCATGGGATTATGGCTGTCTGTTGTTGCATTTCCAAAGACACCAGTTCCTCCCGCTCCAAATCCCGAGTTTGTTCCAAACAAACTCATAGTGCAGTAAGGTTCCTTCTAATGTGAAAAGACAGGGGGGTGAATTCCTGGAGATGGACGTCCACAAAGCTGACTGGTTTTGGAGAACATCTTCCACACATGACCCAAATTAATTTTTATTTTTTTGTGCAACAGGATCATTAAAAAAAATAAAACAGAAGGTTTGGGAGTAACGTTGAATAGCCACCACACTGAATTAAAACTACTACACGATAAGATGCCATTAAACTCAGTTAGCATTATTAAAAGTGATCATATGGTTTTGCTGGATATCAGGTGTGTGGCTAACGGCAATACTAGACTCCATTTACACGTGCTTTCAAAACGTACTGGGCTCAGAAGCTTTGCATAACATACACGGGCTATTTAACTTTAAAAAAAGATTGAACTGAGGGCAGACTAACAGTTACACTGGTCAGAGGATAAATAAGACTGAACTGCCTCAGAAGGCTAACGCTAGCTAAATCAGACTCTAGCCTCTGGACAGGAGCAGTCTAAACACCAAGCATTGCTATGAGCTGCATCTCCTCGAAACTAAAAAAAAGCTTTACATACCTAAAAATGCGCCTCGGGGAAACTGAGAACTAAAAGATAAATGTTCGCTATCGTATAGAAAAAAGTGTGGCGCTCGTCCCCCCCTCCGAAATGTGTGTGTGTGAGCGCGTCGCAATTTGATGACTTCTTCTTACTTTGGGTTTATGGCGCCTGGTAAGCTAACTTAAAGAGGCAACACTGCCACCAGCTGGACTGGAGTGGGAAGTGAGAAGAAACTCAGAAAAAGAATGAAAAGACCTGAAAGTTATGTTTTTCTTCATTTAGACAGAAGGAATTGCAATGATTTGTTGCAGTTAATTTTGAATGCAGTTAATTTTGCTCAATAATTTAGTCGACTTACATGGCACATCCAGCAGGTTGCTTAAATCACACATTCAACAATCTGATGTAAAAAAGTATCTTCAAACTGCATGCACACTACTACTGAACAGTTTATCGTCTGAAGCATTTACCAAAAGATTTGAATGACCTATTCTTGACAGTTTCTATCTTCCTCTGTTTTCACCTCTATCCAAGTGCCAACATGCACTTGGTTTGTTTAAAGCTATGTCCCAGTTTTAATACTGTCCGATCATTTGTGCCACATAAGTTTTGCTTTAAACAGCCTTTACATCAACAGACTTGCTCCTTGGAATTTGTTTCACCAGAATGTCCACTTCTTCGCTCCAGCATAAGCAGGGATTGTTTTTGAGCAAGTAAGTGCTGATGTGTACCTCTACTGTTTATCATGAAGGCCAAATTAGGTTGCAGTCTAAAATTGGAATGAACACTGTTAATAGATTTTATACAATTTATATGGTAGATCTCAACTGTGAAACCATGGTAACCTTTCACTATTGACTACTGAATGCTTTAAGAGTTTCTGAATTAATGATACCGCAGCCACACAAAAAACGGAGAATGGTAGTCCAGTTGTTTTTCCAGAGGCATGTGACAGTTTTTACAATGTATAGATCATATATAGCGAAACAAGTCAAACTCTGGTTAAAACAAAGTGCCAGACCAATGTGTTAGTTGACAGTGTTAGCCTTTAAAATATCCTCAAGGATAAAGAGAAATGACATGAAACTGGAAATGATGTTCCAACACTGATAATAGTGTTTCTGTCATCTGTGTACTGTTAAGCTTCAGCTAAATGTTTGAGTCCTGCAGCAGTAAATAAGTAAAACCTAAAAAACAAAAACAAAATTAAGCTAAGTGTTAAAAGCTGACCCTGAGCTTTATGGACCAGTGATATTCATGTAATAGTATTGGCAGAAAGGTTACAGACTCCTACCAGGCACTTTCAATTTTTTTTTTTGCTGCCATATAGAAACAAATCTGCACTCAGGCATTAAGCAGATACCATATTAATTCTTAAATTGTTTTAAAATATTCTGTTATTAATCATTTTTAGTATTCTAATATATTAATATTCTATTCCAGCTATTCTATTAAGGCTTTTTCTGAAACAGGGAGAAAATGCAGTAAATTAGAAAAGATGGTAAAGCAGCGAAAGTTAGACCCAAACAACTTTGCAAAAAAAAATACTTTGGTGACATACATTTTCTGCTGATGTGCGTGCATAAATATATTTGAGTGATTATCACAGAGTGACAGTCACTCAAACTGTTTACAGAATTTGCAAATGTTTGCTACTGACTTGAAGAACTCTTGAAGGGCGAATGAGTCTGCAGGGATGAGTCAGGCAAAGTGGCCAGAGGCTGTGATAAACATCTTTAAGAGTCTGCTCTGTGCTGCTGATGAGATTTTGATTTACAGTTCCACTCGCAAAAAAAGGTGGAACACTGCGTGAAATGCATTTAACACAGGATATGATCCAATGCAAACGGCATGACCAAACATGTCCTCCACATTAGACCACAGCATGCCCAACAAATTAAATATATTAGATCGACTTGAATTTTACGTCAACATTAACAGAAATGTGGGTTCAGGGCCGACATTACCACTGTGAACACCTTCCTCTTCTTTTAACAGCTGCCTGTAAACATCTGGGAACTGAGTAAACCAGTCGCTGGACTTTTGGAAGAAGGATTTTGTCCCATTCTTGTCTGATATCAGATTCTAGCTGTGTAAAATACACAGATATTAGAAGTCATCTTTTGATGTTCTTAATGCTGAAAACCTGGTTGGTGAAAAGACTGGGCTGAAGAATGAAGTGACTGTGTAGGTGTTTTAATATTGTGTTGCTGAACTGAGCAAGATTTTCCCTGAAACAGATCTATAATCTAAACAGGAGCAGATGTTGCTACAAAACATGCATGACAGGAATATCTTTCACCAACAATGGTGCCTTTCCGGATATGCAAGTTGCCTCTGACACCATCGGATATCCTGGTTTACAGCAGGATGACAACAAGCTGGATCCTCTTGACTTAAGTCTGGAGATATCAGTGTCAGTGATTTCCTACAAGAATTTGAAGTGTTGTGTTTCGTAATCACAGAGGAGTTTTCAAACTAGCTTTGGTCGATATCTGGATAATGCTCACACGTGTGTTCCAATTTGTATGATGGAGCTTTAAGATCTGTTTTTTGATGGGCCCAAAAGTCCACCATCCAATGGAATGACTTATCCAGAATCTTTGATCATAACATCTGCTGAACATTCAGAAAGACTATTTTGAAATATATACAGCCATTACAAAAATGATTATTTTATGAAACACTGTTGTGAATTAACTTAAGAGAACGTGTCGAATTTAGAAAGAGAGGGTTCCTATGTACTGATCCAGTCACCACTCCCCTCAACTGGACCAAAGCACGTGGATAATCTATACCTGAATGCTGGACTCTTTCTACTTTGTTAGTCACCTGCCCCCATCCGTGGCAGCTCTATTAGAGCTTTGAGCACTGCACTTTACACATTGTTGCAGTCAGTCTTTTGCATGTCCCATCACGCATGTAGACCGCAACTGATCACTCAGCAATTAGGGTGGGCCCTACGTTATTGTCTCACTTCAAAGGATTCTTTTTGTCCCGAAAAGGGGATTATGGGATTTCCATATTTACCTTCAGACTGATCGTTCGGTGTTTGATTACCTTTACGCGCAGATTTATGAGGCAAAGTGACAAATAGATTGCGGGCTATACTAAGATAAGATTTCTGTGTGCGAAGGAAGGCTGCATAAACATGGGGCCACAAGACATGAGAGAAGGCATCCATGAAAAGAACAAGATGCTCATAATCAAATCGTCCGACAATGTCTAAACAAATTACTACAACTGCGTTAAAAGTTACAAAACTGTCCACCTTCTCACCAATCGCATTTGGTTATTGAAAAATAATTCTATTTTCTCCAAAAAACGTCCTCTTCTCTCCGTCATGGCCTGTCTCATCAACAGTCCCTGCCCCTCCCATTGAAAAGTGTCTCAATGAAACTCTTTTCCCACGTTGCCAGAAGGGGAGCAGACTCACGTCGACTTGGTGCGCAAAGGCAAATGATGAATGAATGAATGGATGAATGAATGAATGACACTCTGTGCTGCTAGTGGTGGGGGGGCGTGATTTAACTTTCTCCACATGTAGAAAGTCCTTTTTTTTTTTTAAGGACCCGCATCCCCGGTCATATTTTTTTTCCACTAGTTGGAGCAGCGCGTAAAATTGGGTAAAAAAAAAAAAAATGGCAACCAGAGCCGTGGCGCGGGTCGCGTTCCTCCTGCCGTGGGCTTACTGCGCAATGGCCACGCTGGTCGCCTTCTCCAACTTCTCAGCCGAGAACGAGGCGCGGTCCAGTTTCATCCAGCGGCGGCTGCGGAACCAGGAGCGCAGGGAAATGCAGCGCGAGATCCTCTCCATCCTGGGGCTCCCGCACCGTCCGCGCCCGCGCGCGCACACCAAGCGCGACGCTGCCCCGATGTTCATGCTGGACCTTTATAACACCATCTCCGCGGACCTAGGAGCGCACAGGTCATACTACAGAGCTGTCTTACCCACGCAGGGCTCCTCCAGCACCACGGTCACCCCGCAGGACAGCCGCTTCCTGGACGACGCAGACACGGTGATGAGCTTTGCCAACCTCAGTGAGTGTCCATTCCGGTTGTTGTTCCATGACCCTGACCCTAGGCTATAGGAGGTTTTACCTGAGGATAAAAAAACATCATCATGTGACAGAAATGTTTTCATATTTGGTAATAAGTATAATATAAATGATTAGAGCTCACCTGTTGTGCACTTATGATGGAATCAGAACAAAGTCAGTGAGTTACAGTGACATTAGGACAAAGTACCAGATAGTTTTGTGTGTTTAAGGCTAAATTGTTTGATATTGTGGCTTTTGGGACTCTTTTTTCTCTTTAAATCAGGCTTTATGCATTCCAAGCTTAACTGTAAATATTATGACAATGTGCATGTATCCAAATTGGCTCCAATCAGTTAAAGCTCTTTTAGGCTTAGCTCTGGCTCAGCTTCATTACACTATACAAAGAATTGAACAGAGAATCCAAAGCTATTGGTTGATGAGAGCATTTCACAGCATACCATCAAGACTCAGGGCTCATCTTTGGATGTTTAATGCTTTTGTATCTGCTTTTGGTGCAAGTTGATGCCTTTTACCTATGGCCTCTTGGAGGACAATTAAGCCGGGGATCAGTCAGACGTTACAGAGTTTTTTGAAGGCAAATCCTGCTTTGTTTTCCGTCCCCGTCTCAGGAAAGCTGAATGCCACTGTGGAGAAAACTGGAGGCAACGTGGTGTGTCCTGCCTCATGACCTCCGCTAAGATATTTGAACTCTTAGAAGAAAACATGAAGAAAACGGCTTCTCAGTTAGCACAAACACAGCATATTGTAAGAACGTTTTCAACATAACATGTAATGCCCCTCATCTTGAACCTTTGACAGAGCGTGATGAGGTGGGAAAACGGTTTATTGAAACCAGTGGCAGATATATGCGGTTTCATAGTGGATTTTGAAGGGGAAAGAAAGTCATAATGAATGGATGTTATTTACTCTTTCAAGCCCATTATAGCCTCCTATGCTGAGGAGAGGCAGAGCCTTTTGCTCCGGCTCCCACATTTTGCTGGAGTGACTTTTTCTTGGTGGTCGTTTTACAATTGTTTCAGGGCGAAACTGGATTATGATGTGTCCCTGCCAGGGACCACAGCTTCCAATGTGAAAGGCAGCTGCGGTGGCTCAGTTCAGTCTTTTAAAGTAACTTTAAGTCAAAGCATGATAATGATATTAAATTTAGAGATTGTGTTTCAGTCCCACAAACTAACTGGAATCTTCCTACGCATTGTCACTTTGAACCATACGTTTTTAGTCTTAGGTCTTTTATTTCCTTCACTATTTAATGATGTAGTGTTTTTGTAGCATGGCTCCGGTTTTTCCTCTCACTAATAAGACACACAGGCAGAGCAAGGGGAAACAAAAAGCAGAAAATCAGCAAAAATGTCAAAAAGCCTTTGCAAAGCTATGTGCCAACAGAACAAGTAACCATGCAGCTGAAGAACAAGGGGATTATTTTGTTTGTGTGAAAAAGCAAGAAGAAATGTGCCTGTCCTGTTAAGCTGATCTGGAAGGGGATCAAGCTAGGAATTTTTCTTTTTCTTTGCCAAAAAACCTTATTAAGAAACTCTTTATTTATACATTAATGGTAAGCTTCTTATTTAGATGATTGAATTGAATTGTTAGACTTCCACATATGTGCGGTTACTCAGAGTTTTGGGTAGATTAGTGGTTTATCTCTACCTTGACTTGAATCGTACATACCTTGACTGACTAAAAGAATCTGAGTTTCAATTACATTTTTCAATTTTCACAGCAGTTGCACACCTCAGTAACCTGATCATTTTTCTTTTAATTAGGTTTTTTGTTTGATACTGTCAAACCTCCCACATCGATGTGTTGGGAAAATAGACTTATACTATAAAGTTACCATAGGTTAATGATAGCTCTGTGGCTGTGTGGCCCCTGCAGTGTCAGGAGTAATCTGGAGTGTCGAAATTTCTCCCAGAGGGAAGTTTGCATATCTGAGGTCTGATCTCTCCAGCTAATGGTCCCAAACGTAAACACACCAAGTCCTTACAAGCAATTATTGCTTTCATAAAATCACCCCTCGTTCCCTTCCAGCATTTAATTGCGGTCAAACAAATGACTAGCTGGGTTCAGAATGCAGTGCTCTTAATGCCAGTGGCATGTGTGTGTGTGTGTGCTTTCATGTTAAGTGTTTTAAGAGGATTGAGTCATTGTGTGTAAGCTCTGTGGTGCTGTGAAAAATGGCTCTGGTATCAGGATCCTGTGAGGATGTGTGTTGGAGCTCTGCAACAGTATTGGACCATCACAGAAGGAGCATAGGATGATGTCATGGTGTGTGTGTGTGTGTGTGTGTGTGTGAGCAGGCAGGGGGCATTTACCCAGCTCCACACACCTTTTGAAACAACCTCCACTCCTCTCTCTGGAAGCACGTCTGTAGAATAATGCTGTTAAAACATGACACTGGAGAGCCTCTGGGAGATTTGTTTTGTCTGACCATTTTTTTTGTTTTTTTGGCAAACTTGGGGGGGCCTCAGCTAGCTTGAGATGGACAGGAATGTCCCCGGTGTTACCAGACCCCGCTGTTCCACTTTCTCCTCCGCAGTCAGGGGGGAAAACCATTGGAGGGTAATGCGTGGCAAATGGCCGTATCCGTGGTGGGCACAGACTCTCTCAGGCATGAGAACTTGTGTGTGGCTTTCTATACTTCATGGGAGTGTGTTTGTAGAAGTTCTCCGGCTGCTGTGGTTTTCCGGGCTCTGCCTTAACGGGCCTTTTCTTGTGGTCTGCACATGTGTGGAGTCTAAACGGGGATCCAAAGTGAGCCATGAATGTGTTTTTTTTTTTTTATCCCACCGCAGTGGCATGCATGGTGACTTTAACTTAAATGATGTTTTGATAGATCACTTGTGGAAACAGAATTGTTCCTGTTTCTGATAAAGCCGTGAGCTGGGGAGCACTCATCAGAGCACGACTGAAATCCACCGATTTGACACATATCGCAACCACTGACTGGTCTTCCATCTGATTGTAGAAAGAAATCCTCTTTTTTCATGTCTGCATACATTCACTCTGATATTGAGGAGTTTTTACAGTCTGTGTCAGTTGAAGAGAAATCTGTCAGCAATTTATCATGATAGTGTCATTATCAGCTGGTGTATAAAGGAAGCAACTTTTAAGAAGCCACACTTGTTCTTGAGGTTTGACAACAATATCCTGTCATGGCTGTCTGTCTTTCTCTCATAGTTGATCAGGACCAAGATCATTTGTTCCAGCCGCACATACGAGAGTTTCAATTCGACATATCCCGTATTCCCGAGGGAGAGGCCATCACAGCAGCAGAGTTCAGGGTTTTTAAACATTTCATCCAGGAGCGCTTTGAGAATGAAACCTTCACAGTCAGTGTCTACCAGGTCCTGCAGACGTCTTCTAACAGGTAAATGATTTTTTTTTCATTCCCCATTTACCCCACTCTCCAAATTTCCTTTTTCCGTTACTGCTGTGGCTCACAATGTATTTATTTGATTGTGTCTTGTTAAGTTTTTCCATACTCCATTTGAATAAATGTTGGATAAGCTCTGGTTCACCAGGGTTTTCTTGAACAAGAACCCTCATGTCTAGAATTCGGTCATCATATTGGTCTAGTTTGTCAAATTATTGAAAGATACTAGTTACAAGAAAGATGGGATGTTGGTTTATATTAAGCAATAATCCAGATGTGCAATTAGAGGCATTAATGCCCCCTCCATAGATGTAAGTATTCAGACAAGTGCTGATAGCAAGCTAAATGGTCTCTCACCACTTTAGTGCCAGTTTTTATACAAACTCCTTATTTGGGATATTTGGGATTTTGTACTGTGAATGAAATGTTGGTTTGTGAGCTCAAATTTTGGTTTTAATTCCTTCTCACGCTGGGAAGTAGGGTTTACGCAGTTTGCATTTCTGCAGTTGCGCTCCGTGAAATGTACATGCTCATTTTGGGGAAACCCATTAAATTTCTTTGAATGCACTGCCACACAGAGGTGTGATAACAGACAGACACAGAACTGAGCTGTTTTATGTTTTCATGCCTTTTTGTCAGCAACATTATGCAAAAAAACCCCAACAATAAACCTGAATGACCAAATTTATTCGAACTTGGTAACAGCAATAATGAAACCTAATTTGCCTCCATTATATTGGGGCTTTGTTAAAAAAAAAGAAAAAGCATTTGATTATATACTTTCTCCGTCCAAATTACATAAATGACCAAATCTTTATAAATTGAAATCTTGCAATGACTCATTTGGCCTGAGTGAAACACTTTTCCCCACACGTTATTTCAGCTGATGTGACTCTGTTTACCCAGTAATTAGTGTTAATTATAGAAATACAGAGGTCTCCGGAGCAGTTTTCTGAGTGAGAACAGGACAGTCCCCAGGAGACCTGCAATTTTATCACTCAGCTCTCACCACAAATAATGTTAAACCCTCCTGACGTCACTTTTTCTGTTACACATGCAGTTATTCCTGTATCTGTCTAACACATTCAAGATGTGTTTTTATCCAAGCTTCTGTTTAGCCTTTTCGCTAAGTGTTTTCCTTATACATCAACAAAAACTGCTAACATTATCATCTTCCTAAAAAAAAAAGAAGTTACAGTGCTGAAGAGGTGAATCAATCCGCTGGTCAACAGACCCTTAAAAACTTTTCAACGTAATGATTATTATTCAAAGTAGACCAATAATCCCAAAGTTTTTAAGACCTAACCCAATTATCTTGAGTCTTAATGAAATGTCTTTAACGAATAACAGCTATCTTTTCCCTCAGGTAATTGCACATTGACATAAGCACTTTTTTAAAATGTTACTCACAGCCTTTCCACACTTTCTCCGTTCATTTACTCTACATATATGGTGTAAATTGCTTTGTACTCATGTTAATTTATTGCATAATGTAGATATAAAAAGGGAAACATTATTAAACATGAAGAACGTTTTTCTACAAGTATGTTACTTAATCACTTGTAGTGTTATATATAAAGATATGTATCCTTATTGTGGTTAGATGTACAGTATAACATTACCCAACATTGTCACTTGACTTAACGGATGGTAAATATTATATAACTGCTTATGAGCAATGACAGTTTAGAAACGGTTTCAGATTGAAATAGATTAAGGTTTAGTTAAAAGGTCCTGTTAATAACTATTATTAGCTTATAAATGCACAATTCCCTCCCAGATGCAGGAGTGTCTGCCTGAGATGCTGACAAGCCTCTAGCTTTTCATGTAAAGGAGTCATGTGCAGCCAGTTGGGCTGGATTAAGTTTTCAGGGCAACCCCATTGTCATGCACAGACTTCCCGATGGCCACTCCACACAGACGGGCAGGCAGCAGCACAAAATGCAGACGTCTCTTACATCTGTAAACAAAGTCATTGTCTTTGAAATCTGCCCTCAGGACGACAAGAGTACGATTTTCTAAAGGAATGTTCGGAAATGCTCTGATAAAGCTCACAGCAGGATTCTGGTTCAGAGAGCCGACTGTCAAAGGATAATTACCCCAGGAGTTCAGACCACAAAGTCGAAGAGGCTATAAGTTAGACTTCAGATCAAAATACGTTCTCTCGGCATCCTTTGTTCTTACCGGCATTAAAGCGGTGCATTGTGAGATGTCAGATGATTATTTTTGGCTTTTATCTGGTCTCTGTGTCTAACAAATAAACAACAACATTCCACTGGTTTGCTATAAATCATTTGGTTACTTTTCAGGCGTCCTCAGGCACAAGCAAACAACATAAAACAACCTATGTTCTTACGTCTGCACTGGAAGGATAACAGGACCACACATGTAGTTTACATCCTTTTTTTTTTAGCTGGGTAAACACCTGTTTTATATCATTTGCCAATATTTGTCAAGTATTTTTCAATACATAACCCATTACTGTACATTGTGTTCAGATTTTTCACTGGACCATTTTTTATCAACCTGTAACTATAAGACAAAAAGCGCATATTCATGCGTGGAAAATGACATGTCAGTGTGCAGCCAAGCTAGTTTACTTCACAGAAAAACAGTTTTGACAGTATGTGCTTTTAGCCCTGACGTCCCTTACCCTTATTTACATTCTGGCTGCTCCCCAGTGAAGTGGAGCTCCTGCTGCTGGATCAGCGGGATGTTTGGGCTTCAGAGGAGGGCTGGATGGTCTTTGAGCTGTCTTCTGCAAGGACCCTGTGGCTGGTCAGTCCTGAGCAGAGCCTCCGCCTGCAACTGATCCTCCAAGACAGCCACGGTCAGTAACGGCTACATTGAAAGCTATATATACATGATGAACGTACACAATGCTTGATTCTTGCATCATTATTGACATTTGATTGATCAATTATAATGGAATGGTACATCAAAAGGTTGGAACTGGTCCTGGTTGCGTCCCCCCTTGCAGGTCGGAGGAGGAACCCCAGGCTGGCCGGGCTGGTGATGGGCAGCGGCTCTCAGGACAGGCAGCCCTTCCTGGTCGTCTTCTTCAAAGCCAAGGAGGTGCGATTTCGCGGTGCGCGCTCGGCTCAGGGACACAAGGGCCGCCAGTCTGGCCGCTCCAAGCCACAGAGAAGCGTCCAGGATGCGCTGAGGGCGGTGGAATCTGCAACGGGTGCCCCAGGCTTCACATGCTTTCACCACAGCTAAATTCTGCCCGTCCCCGCTCAGCGTCTAATACGTTGTGTTTGCATCCTGTCGCTTTCAGATAACTTTGGATTATCTAAGGAGGGGTGTAAGAAGCGCGAGCTGTACGTCAGTTTCAGAGATCTGGGATGGCAGGTACACCTTAGAGACCGAATTGTATTTTGAAATGTGTCCTTTCAAAACTGACGGTTGACAGTTATTTGTGGTTTTCCCCCTCACAGGACTGGATTATTGCACCAGAGGGTTATGCAGCATATTATTGTGAGGGAGAATGCGCCTTCCCCCTCAACTCCTACATGAATGCCACCAATCATGCGATCGTGCAAACTCTGGTAAGCCCCAAACAGTCCCTGATCAAAAGCGCTTTCGCTCCATCCTACACGTTCTCTGTTTGGTTCATTTCTACCTCCTCTGACCATAGGTGCACTTTATTAACCCAGAGACTGTTCCCAAGCCCTGCTGCGCCCCCACGCAGCTCCACGGTATCTCTGTGCTGTACTTTGATGACAGCTCCAACGTCATCCTCAAGAAGTACCGCAACATGGTGGTCAGAGCCTGCGGCTGCCACTGACAGGTTTTCTGTGAGCTCTGGAAATCTAGACGGATGCTGAAGAAATGCACACGTACAGCAGCCACAGACAGGAGATGATTGACTGTCTGGTCACAAGGGGAGCTGTTGCCACAGTACAGGCTTTAATCTAGGGGTCTGTTTTTATATGACTCCCAGCTGAGACAACCTAGACCCATAAGACAGCCCAGCTGAAACTACTGGCCACAGAGAAGGACCCAACGAAGGACTTTGTATTGAGTATGACCAGAAAGAGTTCATAGAAAAAATGTTGGAGTAGTGCAGCGCTGCTACACTAAATCAAATCCAAATAAAAATTGACCAAAGGTTAACCGTGTGCAGAGATTATATTATTATGTGCAACGCCTAAAATTTGATTTTCAGAGGATTAGATTTTTCCTGTCTGCTGATGTGCATTCAGTATTAGCTGTCATTAAAAAATGTCAGGGCTCTGTCTTCTTCTTGAACCAGTGAATTTTGGTTGTTGGAACATTCGGATGAACTGAGACAGACCTGGTCAGATATGAAACATCTCACAGTGAGAAATAACAGATTGATAACTGTGCAGGATTCATAAGCCTGACTGCAGGCTTGGTTTCTATGCATCAACTTATTTAGGATTATGTCATGGGGTTTGATATAACTGATAGATCTCAACAAGACATCTGTGATTCATCCTCAGATGGGGATTAACACGGATATACACTGTCACCACACTATAGCTGCCTTCTGCTATTGAACATTATCAATAAATATGAATTGTCAAACAAAGCCCGCTAGGTAGCTGGAATGTTTTTACCCTGGTCATGGTCTCAAAAGTTGCATCACCATCATCGTTGACCTATAAATTAGGGCTGTGGCGCAAATATGCAGGACAGTTTTGTATCTCTAACTTTCATCAAGTGTAAAGATCAACAATAGTTAGGTGTCCTTATAATTGTGCAGTAATTTATTCATTACAGCAGCTGAATAAAATGTGAATAAACAAAACTTGCTTTCTACAGCTTTTATTACCTATACGTGTGTGTTCCCTAGTTGGGGACGGCTCAGTGCAGTAAAATGATGCGACATGTAGGAAAAGATGCAGTAACAGCATTATGGTTATTCATCACTGTTTAGTCACTGAACGCATTTTTATTCAGCTTAGTTTTATTTTTATTGTATATTAAAACCAAATTGCCAAGTTTTTGTCTTTTTCAAAGGTTTTATCGTTTTTTTCTTCTAAAACAAACAAAAAAAACAACAACATTTGAAACACTTTAAGCTGGGATTCAAGTGTATCCAGATGTTCTCTTGTACTGATGGAAAGGCTGATGGAAAAACAGCTACACAAGTCATAGTTTAAGTCATATTATATTCTTTTCAGTTTCATTCTATTAAACTGACTGCGAACTGTGAGCTCAAGAGGAAATCCTCCCAGTTGTTTGGTTTATAACGTCACTCACTCAGCTGTTTATGAATGTAAACATTGAAAATGAAATAAAAAATGTACACTTTCCTTTTTTTAATTTCACAAAGAAGACCTGATACACACCATATCACAAATTGTTTTAGGCACCATCTAATAAATTCATGTGACTGAGAGGCAGCCTCTTAGGAGTGATACATTACCCAGATATTTCTAATGATGAAAATTGTTTAGAAGACTAGATCGATTGTCCTTTTGCGGATGGCCGTATTTGTTGATGTTGCTTTTCTCTTCAGGTTTTTTTCAAGTTAAGACTAAATCATATCCACTAGCAATGTAGACTGCCACCATATGGTGACATTATGCAGCCTTGTTCACTTCAAAATATTTTTTTTTGCTTTGCAAGTAAGAGGACAATCAACTATCGATATGATGTGTCACTGAAGCTTAGACAAAAATTACTCATAAACCCGTGGAACGGAGGTACAAAAAGCATATTCACAATAAATGCATATATCAAGGCATTTACAACGACACTTCCTCAGAAAATCTGTGCTTCGAACATAGAATGTTACATCACAGCCCACACAGTTAACAGCACAGATTGTATCAGTAGATAGAGGTAGAAGCATACAAATCAAAGTTATCATCCAATAAATGTTTTCCTCCTGGGTACAAGAATTCTTACATAATGCTAGGCAGAAAAGCGATAACTTTATACAGTGAAAAGACCTGAGGCAGTATTTTGATGTGCTCTTTATGGAATGTGGGCTGAATTGCAAGAAACATTATGGGGGCTGCAACTCAAACAGCATTTTTTAAACTATAGGAAAGTTATTGAAGCCACTCCATCCATCCATCCATTTGCTGTTCCGCTTATTCCAACAGGGCCGGGGATGGGCTAAAGCCTATCTCAGTTGACAGCGGGTGAGAGGCGGGGTACACCCTGGACAGGCTGCCCGTCCATCACAGGGTGACACAGAGACAAACAACCACTCACATTCACACCTAGGGGCTACTTAGAGTGTCCAATTAACCTAAGATGCGTGTTTCTGGATGGTGGAAAGAAGCCGGAGTACCCAGAGAGAACCCATGCAGACACAGGGAGAACATGGGGACTTGAACCAGGAGCCCTCCTGTTGTGACTCTGCTAACCAGCACATTGAAGCAACTCTCCAAAATCAGCCACATTATTCTGCATGACCCATGCTCTCCAAAAAATATCATCTGAAGTATGTATTTGGTCAGCCATGTTGAATTCAGACACAACTATACTGTCTGTGCTCAAACCCTGGCAAACCTCGACAAACGCAACACGGGGAGGGTTACATTTACTGTAGATTTCTTGTTTTTTAAAAGTTTTTAAGATACAATTCAAAGCGATAGTCAAACAGAAAGGGATTTTCAGGAGGTAGAAGGGCGGCATATAGGCTGATTATGGCTCAACTTGAAATAGACCAGCAAGGCCTCTAAGTTACCTTTGTGTGAGTAGAACCCGAGGACCCTTGACTCAAGGGGCTGAATAGTGTCTCCTGCGCGCCGCCTCTTTCCCTGCTCTCTGCCCCTCTGGGAGCTGCTTCAGTTGGAGGGGAACCTGGGCGCGCGGAGCAGTTTGTACCTTCACGGGCTCGCGTCCTCCGCCCGCTTTCCCGGGCGAGGTTTTCGGCCCCGGGGAGGTTGACGGCGAAGGCTCGGGGGCACAGACGGGCGTGAGAGCCAGGCAGGTGTCCCCCACGCTCAGCTGTCGGCAGCGCAGGCCGCAGAGCCGGGCGGTCCTCTGAGGGCTGCAGGAGGACCAGCCCTGCCCGCGCACAAAGAACGGGTACTCCACGTACACATCCACCAGCTCCTGCAGGAGGAGAGAAGCACAGGCGTTCAGGGGAGTGAAGCTGTCGGCTCACTGTGGGTGGGTGGTGTTCTCATTTGCAGGATGTAGTCAAGCTGTAATTTGATGGTTATCTTACAAATACGCACGCAGTTATGGAAGTGGGTAAAGGTTTCAGAATTGTTTGAAAATACCGTAATGGTAGATTCTTTTGTTGTCTAAATGTCTTTTGTCCAGAACAAGAAATGCATAATAACCTAAATGAATTAAACCACCTTAAAAACATTCCTCCATATATTCTTATATAAAGATCCACATTCTTTATTTCTACTATGTTTGATTTTACTCATTTTAGCCTTTCATTTTTTATAATGATGTTATTTGGTTTAAAATGTGTCTCTGAGTGTATGTCTAGCTTTGCAAACATTTTGAGCAGTTTCCTCCAGGATCAATCGTTTTCTGACGCTGTGAGATTCAGCTTTAAAATGAATTAGCATTCAAATATAACTGACATAGTGTGTGATAGGAATAACAGCCACTTATGCGAAAGCTGCTGTGAAGAATAACACCACAGTGTGTTGTTTCATCACCTGGGACTGCTGATCGTGAAGCAGGATGAGGAGGCGGGAGACCGAGGAGGAGTACGCCGAGGGAGAGATGCTTTTCACCGTGCAGCAGCTCAGATGCAGGTCTGGACAAGCCAGCGAGCCGAGCAGGAAGTCTTCGGTCTGCAGGTGTTCCACCTTCCTCAGCCGTCCGTCTTTTAGCTCGATCAGAGAACCCGCCACGAAGTGAGGGAGCAGCCAGGGGAAGCGGTTGGCAGAATTAGACGGAGAAGCGGGATGTTCAGGACTGGGAACAGTAGGGGGTCTCGATGTCTCATTTGTCGTTGTGGTGTCCGAGTTTTCAAGTGAAACTCTCATGAGGGAACGTCCAGACACAGAGACAGCTTTTGTCGAATTGTGCAATGAGCCACGTTGCCAAGCAATGTCTTTATGTAGAGGGTGAGGTAGACACGTGCTCAGTAATGAGGGACTTGCTTTATCGGGCCTGGGAAAAAGGCCGATTTTTCTATCGTCCCTCTTTGCATATGGACCTTTGTGCTTGCCATAGCTCTGCCTCTCTGGATTCCAACCGTTATCTTTTAACGTCCTAAGCTTCTCTTGGCCTTCTCTCCCTCTGCGGAAACCCTCGGCGACAAGGGAAACAGCGCCGAATCTGGAGGAGCATAGGTGATGGCCTGGTTGGAAAGCTTGTGTGGTGAACAAGTGGTTTTGGTGCTGGTGGGAAAAGTCCAAACCAGGGGGGAGTGCGTTGAACTCTGTCCACTCTGCCCAACCGTGATGCTCTCTGAAAGTGGAGGGGATGTGTTGTTTGGGCCTGTTGGGAGCGTGTGTCTGCATCCAGGGCTGGTAGAGCGGGGGGACCCGTCTGGGCACAGGTCGAAACGGGCCCATGTGTTTAGAGTCGTTTTGGCTCTTGTACGGGTACGGCGCTTTGAAATGTACCGCATCGCTCTGCGTTTGCCTCTGGAGCTGCTGCTGCAACGGTGAACCGGCTCTTTGGTCTCTCTTTTTCAGCGGGAGGCTGCCCCTGTCTGGGACCAGAGTCGGATTGGTGGTAAAGCTCATTGCCTCGCACTGGCTGTCACTCACACCGGCACAGCATGGCCTCCAGAATTAGAGCTGGTGTTGAGATTGTGTGGCACAGACTCCATTAGTCTCTTGGCAACTGTTGCACACCCAAGGTCATCATGATCTAAGCATTAGAGGGAACAAACATCAATGCATTCAAAATGGTGTCAAGCTGGAGAAGATCCAGACAGAAGATAAATTGAACTTTTATCTTGTTTTAAAGTACGTTTCCTTTTCCATCCCTGCCTGAAAATATAGGCATGACATCTGAACAATAACTTCGCCATCAACTTCAAATTACAGCCTTCCAGCCATCAATTGGTCTACTGACAGGGTTTATTTTGATGGACATCCACCAGCTCCTTCGTTTGAAAAATGTTTCTATGGTTACAAAGTACAGCACAGTGTGGCTGGTAAAGACATTAGTGTGGTAAGAGCAAGTATGAGTAAAATATTGGCGGTGGGTGTAAAGTGAGAGGTCAGTTCTTTACATCTTTCACCTCCTTTGCAGTTCGGGAAATTTATCAGCAAAGTTTTAACCGCAACATTTTCCATTAAAAAAGAATATAACACTGCATCATGAAGTACAAACCTAAGTCCAAGCTTCCCTCTCAGGATAAATTGATGTCCAACATCACAGGCCTCTCAAAGGCTATTATTATTTAACATGAATATGTAGGAATGACTCAGTTCACTGAGCCAGGATGAAAAAATTCACCTTGTAAACACAATATTATTCATTTTTTGTTTAAAAATGTTGTCACAGAGAAAGTAATTCAGGAAAGTATAAAGCAGCAAGCACCTATCGGTGCAAAGTTAATCTCATTGCATCATCATATCTTAGCAGAGATGCTGAATGGACTTCTTTGACTATTCCAGGACAGACTTGCCTTTCACCTCTGTTCTATATGTGTGCATTTGTGTGGGATCATTATCCTCACATAAGCATTCCAGTATGAGCAGCCCGCATTACACCAACAGACATAATGTGATAAGTATTTGTCGGCAATAATAATGTAAATTAATTCAAATGACGTTGCAGTGTGGGCTACACACTCACTGTGCCCTACACAGGTATGGTCACATCATCACTGAAACGGACCTATGATGTAAGGCTTCTCCATTTTTAGTAACCATAAGAGGTGATCATAACCACAACAGGTACTTATCTAAGAAAATGACATCTATACACATCAGTGTTTCGTGTGTTTGCGGCCATCATATGAAGGCTAATCAGCACTCAGGATGGAATTATTTGCATATCAGTAGTGACGATATTGCAATAGCTTAATGACTCCCTACATAAAGCTGCATTGTGACATGACTAAGTTGAACCGCTTGTTCTAAACCACAAATAAAGATCCCATTTTACAGATGCATGCAAGTATTTATCACTCTTGGCTCCTGTGTATAGAAAACCATACAAGAAATTCCCTGCATATAGATCTGGAATTCAATTGGTTTCACTTACTTGTTCCTGTTTGAATCCTTTTGTGTCACTATGTTCATTCATCCATAGAAAATGTCCATTAATATTTCCACATTGAAGACAGCCACCCCTCCCAGACACACCTGTCTGGCTCGTGTCCTCGCAGGCTGCAGGTGAAAAAAGCAGAACAGAATGAACAGAGGCGACCACACAACCTCGCACACAAACACACACTCCTCCTTCTCTCCTCTCTTCTGCTCTCTTCTCCTACTTTCTCTCTCTCCCCTCCCACTCACTTTTACATTTTGCACTCCCACTCTGCTCAGTCAGTCAGTCAGTCGGTCCCGTTAACCTTTTCTAAGACAGATTGGTTCTCTCCTCCTTTTGCTCTCTCTCTCTCTCAGTCACTCCCATCTGAACTTGTTCGCTCTCTGCTCGTTGGCGAGTGGCACTTCCAGCCCCTCGTCCGCTGGCAATCAAGCTCCTCTTCCTCAAACCGCGCTCCACACGTGCTCTCTTTCGCTCTGTGGCTCACAGCTATTCGATGTATAATTAGAGATGAGACTGCTGTGCAAATACTCAGCGGATGGTAGGCGTTTTACTGCCTGATGGCTCTGGCGTAGGGCCTGGAGCGTGGAGGGAGGGAAACTGCTGTTTCAGACCTGCTTGGATGCTCACATGCACAAACTTAAGAAAGGCTAAAGTCAGTCCAAACGCCAAACACCGCATGCGATCTAACCTTGACCCGCTGTTTATTTCCCAGATCGTGCTCGTCTCAGCTTGGTGGGCAGACGCATCTTGATAACGTGTGATGCCCAATCTGATAGAAGTCCAATTCGATTACTTTTTATGCGAGTACACAAAGGTCAACATAAGGTTCTGACACCAAACAGGCCTTTCATGGCTGTGCAAGAAGCCATCTCTGTCGAAAGAAAAGAGGACACAACTTTTGCTCCACGGCTGCACGGCGGCGTCGGCCTGAGCTATTGATTTTTTGCACGGCCTCAGCAGGTGAACCCCCCCAGTCATGAGAAAGCCTACGCTTGATTTAGTATGTGGTGTAGAGGATTTCTCACTTTGACTCACATCAAGCTTCCTCTGCCCACTCTGTTTCTCTGCCTCTCTCTCTCTCTCTTTTGCCCTGTTTTTTTTGTCTTCTGACGAGCATACAAACAGACAAAGGCATGTTAAGACGTCGGGTTGCATGTTTTTGCTGCAGTTAGCCCATTTAGGCTAAACCACAGCCTCCATTGACATTTCAAAGAGCTTGTTTTTATTGATAGAAATCACCAGTCACTCCCACCACTTCCCAACTGCTACATTACAGCTTATGACTGCAGTTTCACTTCGCACCTTGGCACATGCACACACACACACACACACACACACACACGCAAACATTGTACTGGTGAATTTTTGCATTCTTGTGCAGTTATGGGTACAGGTTTATTGTTGTCTTTCCTGCCAAGAACATGAAAAGAATTATTCATAAAGCACATCATCATAATCTTATAACACATTTTTATATAAAATGAATTTGCTTAGCTCTAGACTCTTTTGAATGTCTCATTTGATTGTTGCTTGAAGAAAAAAGAAGTCCTTGACGAAATTTGTAAAACCTTTTTCCTGAAAGGATTAAGCTTCGATTGGAGAAAGTGCGACCAACATATGTTGTCCACTAGATGGTGTCTTTTGCACGTAGGTTTTCTGATCCCCCGTGAGATGATGTTTGCTGACACTTTTCACTACTTGTTCAATTATCATTCAAAAAGAATTCTACTCATTTACACTCCCTTAAATAAATGAAAACTTAAATGATAGATAGCAAAAAATTTAAATGATTGCCAAATTGATTTACAAAAATATCATATTTGTTAAACATTCCTTTAATTGAACGTGATTAATTCAATTTAATTTAAATTGAATTTAAACATCATCATCATGTCTGCAAAAAAACACATTTGCACATTGCAAAAAATATTCAGAAGTCCTGATGTTGATAGTAAGGATGTTGCTCACTTAAACACCTGACATTGAGGCTGAAACATACAAAAGGGAACTTGAAGGGCAAAAAATGAACAGACAGAGAGGGAAGAGGTGGGGAGGGGTGTAAGGAGACAAAAATAACAAAAGCGTGTGTCTGTCCTCCGTGGTATTTTCCACCGCGTTACGTAAAATCCCTTCTTTCTTGCTCTTACTCCCTTCCTTGCTTTCCTCCAGCTCCTCCCTCCTGCCTGTCATTGGTCAGCTCCAGAGAGAGCCTCAAACTTGTTCTGCTCTCATCCAGCACACTAAGACTCGGGCTGGGGGGGAAGAAAGAGGGGAAGTGTGGAAAAAGAGTGTCACTCACTCCGGACCAGTGGGAGTGAGCAGAGGAGGTAGGAGATCCACACCGGGCTCTTTTCCTGAACTCACAAAGAGCTCTCCGGCCACGGGACACGCTTATCACCTCTGACGGACTGGCTTTTTTTCTGTTTTTGACAGCTCTCCAGAAACATGAGCTCCTCATCAGCTAACCTTCACAGCAAACGTCTATCATGTAAGTGACTTTAGCAGCTCCAGACTCAGCTCAGCTCATCTGTGGGTTCAGGTGGATATTTCAACCCTTAGACTGTTGTTCTGTCTTATTATGTATAGTGGAACACAAGAAATAATAAGTTCCCATATCATTCTCAAGACTTTAAGGGGGAATGATGTGTTTATGTCTGATATGATGTGTGTATCCTTCACCTTTTAACGAGGCAGAATGTGTTTTAAAGAGCCAAAAGTGAAGTAAAGTCACAAATGAACATTTTCTTTTTGGTTTTGTTTATATAACTTAATGTCTATGCTCATCACACTGATGACACACAGTGTGTGTCTGTTGTACATCATGTGGAAGCTGGTTCAACTTCTCATACGTGTTGCGTTGAATAGTATCCATTGTGTTCATGTGGTGTGCAATGACTGGACAAAGTGCTGTCTGAGCCAAAAAAGAAATGGATAGGAATGTCAGCTCATCCCCTGAGTCATGTTCGCTAATACCAAATGAGTAGGTCTCACAATCATTGCTCAGGAATCAGGACACATTCCCACATATACACACACAGACACACACTCGTACAGAGGCAGAGTTGGATTGGGGCCAAAGCGCAGCTTGGGACAAAGATCTCTTATTTCTAATGGGTTTGCGCCTGTAGATCTCATCAGAGTCAACCATTTCTGAAACAGACCAACCCAGATATGACCTGAAATTGAATTAGTCCCAGTGAGTTCAGTGATTTTACGAGGCTAAAAAGGATCAGGGCCAGGACTCCAGAGAAGACGTTCCCCATCTGTTGCCATACTTGGAGCCTGTGTAGTCTGATCTGTCACGTTTTGATTATTGTGGGAATGAACTAAAGAGAGTTACTGTGCTGTAGAGGGATGGATTTACCAGCTGTTGAGCGCATTTTACTGCATAGAGGATGAGGAAGGAATTGTCTGTGCTCTTAATGTCCCATTGGACATGGCCCAGATAATGGGAGTAGAAGCTGCTTAATTAGCAAATTAGAGTGGTGAGAATCCTTATTGTGTGCTGTTCTAATCA